ATGCTACCAGAGCTCCTTAGATAGAGGTAGATAGCAGATAAAATACAGAAAATGGAAAATAGGTAGTTGGTAAACAGATCATTGATAGTTAATAAAAATTAGGTAAAAGAGGTGGAATATAGATGCCAGGTAGATAGAATATAGATAACTGATGGAGATAGGAGGTAAATTTGTTGTTGTTAAGTGCCATCAAATCAGTTACAACTCATAGTGACCTTGTATAGGATTTCCAAGGAGAGGTTGGTGAGTTTGAACCACCAATCTTGCAGTTCAAACCAAACTTGAGGTTGAGTGCTTATCCTACGGCGCCACACCAGGGCTCAGAAGGTAGATAAATAGGTAGTTAAATAGAAGATAGATAGTTGATAGAAAAACAGTAGATGAATCTATAGGCTGACAGAAGATAGATAGTTGATAGAGGACAGATTAACCAATGGACAGGTAGATGATAGATGACTAATACAAAATAAAGATTTAGCAGCTGCTGCTCCTCTTCTTCCAGACTTTCTTTCAAAAGCTCAGTAATTTAAGGACGACATTAATATCCTGCGGCTGCTTAGTGTTTTGTGAACCCTGCAAACAGACACCAGTCTCAAGACCGTCATTGCTTGGAAGTTGCAGATGAGGAGGCTGGCGTCTGCCAGCAAGCCCTGTTAGGTATCCTGGGTGTGGAGAACTGGCAACTCTACAGCTCTGTTTTCTCCTTTGCCCTGAACTGGTGCAGAGTGAGGGCTGACCCGAGGCGCCTTGGTCTAGTGGGGTGCTTCCTCGGGGACAGGGGACCATCTCCCTGCAGTGTTCCAGGATTGCTCTGAGTGGGGTCTCTTCTTTCAGCTCTCTGCAAATGGAAACTCCTGACCCCAGATGTTTGTAGGAACATCCCAAAACAGGGAGTATGTTGTTATGTTGTTAAGTGCCGTTGAGTCGGTTCTGACTCATAGTGACCCTGTATACTCTGTAGGCTTCCAGGGAGTGGCTGGTGAGCTTGAACTGCAGACCTTGTGGTTCAAACCGACCATGCAGTCCAGTGCTTATCCCTCAGCACCACACCGGGGCCCCTGACATACAGGTTCTGGTTACTCTCTGTTGCCATGTTTCAGGACTCGCTCCTCTGACAGGATTTGGTGTTTTCCCTGGAGGCCCAGCCAGAACTTTGTATTTGTAGCTCTGGTTTGAAAAGACTTCCAGAACTGGCTTGAGCTGCGAGACTCTGGGGGTAGCGACTTGATGTTACTGACCTGAAGCCCTCTTAGCCCCCAGTCAGCTTCTGGACAAGGGAGGGCAGAACTGCCCACGACCATGCCTGAATGCATGCACAGAACTTTGTGGGTCTCAGCAGGCCACGCACACAGGTGGACTTGAGCAGCCAGGAGCTACAGCAGCTGGGCAAAGCCAAAGCCATGAAACCCAAGGACAGTGACCCTACCCACACCCACTCAGTGCATTGACTGTCCCATGAAACCATGAACCTGTGAGCCTCAGGCCCCCAATGCCATCTCTCCTGCGGCAGCTGATTTGAGGGACTCTCCCCTTTATCCTGTCCCATGCTTCTAATGCTAAAGCCTCCCTTTTTCTCTTTCCTTTTAGAGGGCAGAAGACAGTGTTCATACCCACAGCACAGGTGACACTGGTCCCAGGGGGCATAGCTCCAGTATGGTGGCCCCCACAGTAGAACTGAGCCCAACCTAGTAAGGAGCTCCTGACCCAGTTTGGGGACACGTTCTTGTAGGGGAGACAATGTGGAGAAGACAGGAAGGACCATGGAGACAGAGCTGTGAGGCACAGGGAATCCAGACAGGTCAGTCATATGGGCCTGGAGGACAGTCCAGGGTGCTGAGAGGAGGTGAGGCTCAGTCTCAGGACTGGGCTCACATGAAGGGACTTAGTGGGTCCTGGCTGGTGGTGCAGTGGTTAAGGCACTTGATTGCTAACTGAAGGGTTGGTTGGTGGTTCAAACTCACCATTCCCACATCAGGAGAAAGATGTGGCAGTCTGCCCCCTACTGGCCCATTGAGTCGACTCACGGTAACATTGTAGAACTGAATAGAGCTGCCCATTGGAGTTCCAAGGCGGTAAATCTTGGTAGAAACAGACTTACTCGTCTTCCTCCTGAAAACAGCTGGTGCGTTCAAACCATCGACATTTTGTTTAGTAGCTGAGTGCTTTAACCACTGCGCTACCAGGGCTTCCTATAAGTCTTATTTTGCTGCGGTTGTTACATGCCATCCATAGGTTCTGCCTCACAGTGACCCCTACATATCCTAGAACCGAACACCCTCCTCACAACCCTTGGACAGCCTCAGGGATAGCTCTGCTCTGCCCCAGAGGGTCCTTGTAAGTCAGCGTAGCTAGACAGCAGTGATTTAGTTTGGGGTTTTGCCAGGGCAGTATTCTGGATCCATGTGGGGAGTGGCTGGGTGGGTTCCCTGTGCCTCCTACACACACACCTTGCCTGGGAAGCTGTGCGATTTTCAAAGCATTTCATACCCAAGGGCCATTGTGGGTCCATGAGCCCAGCTTTGCAAAGGTCCCCACCAACTCTCCCCGGTGCTCAGGAGATGAACTTGGGGGCAGGCCTCCACTGCAGCCCCCAGGCCATCTCTGGATATCCAACGGCTTTTGTAGCCTGCCTCCTAGCTGCCCAGAGACCATGCATGCTTACCAGCCTGAGTTTCTTGGCGGGCCTTTGCCCCCAGCTGGCTCAGTATCCATTTGAGAACACCCAGGTTGAAATTAGCAACAGTCTCCTTCAGAAACAGCAAGAGGCAGAGGGTGGCTTCTGCTTCGCCTGCAGGGCATCTGCCCAGGTGCCCAGCTCTGCAAAGCATCCTTCTTGAGATCCTCCAGAGCACATGGCACCCACCCACCCCTCACCCCCAGCCCAGCAGAGCCAGCTTGGAGCTGGCCAGTCTCTCCGGTTGGGTTGTATGAGTCCCCGGCCCACGTGACGAGAGGCACTTTCTGAACGGAATGTGCCAAGATTCCGCAGAGCTCTCTGCCTCAGGCAGTGCCGGGTCCTGACAGCTCTGAGGCCTCGGGCACCGCCGTCTGGACAGAAAACCAAAAATAATTCCTAACAAAGCAGCAGCCTCTGCCCAGTGGGCCAGAGCAGAGCCTGCAGCAGGTGTTCAAGGTGAGGGCACTTAGCAGGCCAGCTGGTTCCCCCCTCCACTGTGCCGGGTCTGCCTGTGAGAGGAGAGGCTGGTATGCTGAATCCAGGACCCCGGGGTGTACCTGGATAGGGAGACCCCGACTCTGGGAGGTCGTTTCTCTAGGATCATGCACACACCCTCCTCGACACCCACTGGTCGGCGGTACCCCGGGGTCCAGGACGGTCAACAGCACAGCTCAACCCCTGTCCTAGACTCAGCTGAAGACAAGGGCCCTCCCCAAGGCCCTCATGCTAAATTTCCTGGAGCCCTCACTGGTCCCAGTGGCCCCTCATGTCCATTCCTCTCATTCCCCACCAAGCCCCTGTTGTAGGTTCCCACACTCCCATCTTGTAGACAAGGAAAACAAATGCAAAGTGACTCTGTGGGGGTCCAGATATGCACTGTTGTTCCCTTCCCACCCTATCCACTGTGACAGATGGCCCTGGGAGAGTCAGATGAGGACTAGCTGACAGGTGAATGACCCCCAGGGAGCCAAGCTGAGTTTGCTCAGGGCACACAGGGAGGTGAACCCAGCCAAGCAAGTGCACCCTGATTCTCAGTCTGAAACCTGCCTGGCTCTCACCCACCTTCCAGCTCTGCCTGCTACCCGAGGCCCTGGGTACAGGGTGATTTCTGTGCAGGAGGGAGCCGCCCACTGTGGTGGCATTTCTGGGTTTGGGACATCATGGCTCCATGTGAAGTCAGAGGAAGAGACATCCAGAGCCAGGTCCCCCCGTCACCTGCCAACACAAGGGACAGCCGTGCCTCGATTTCTCTCCTCCTTCCACCCTGGAGGTGATACACCCCCACTTCTGTGTGGAGAGTGGCTGAACCCCTCCCACACCCTGGCTAAACCACAACCCTGGGTTAGGTCACTGGCTCTGCCCTAAACTCTGCTGACCACCATGTACAGGTGCTGACCCTGTGACAGATAGACAGATGGGTCAGGAGGCTAAGGAGAAAGAGATGGAACATGTGAGTTCAGGGCAGGATCTGGGGGCCCCCGGCTCCATCCTGGAAGGTGCAGGACCTTGGACCACCACGTTACATCCCTGCTGTAGTCTGGGGAAGGTCTGGCCCTGGGGATGTCAGAGCTGGGGTGTGGGGGTGATGTGTCCTTCAGAAAATATCTGAGGCTCATTGGTGTGTGGCACAAAGTGACCACACAAGATGACTAGCTCAGGGAGCGGTCAGTAGGCCGTAAGCCTTGTGTGATGGCCACACTGACCAGGAGATCTGGGAGCCCGTGGGCTGGGGCAGTGGGTGCTCCTTGGGGAGGGGGCACATGACACCCTCCATCTGTGAGACAGTTGTGCTGCTGTGGTCACACCTCAGTCCTGTCTACTACCCTAAGCCCTGTGACCTAACTGTGTCCCCAGAGACCCCAAGAGTTGGCTCTACCTCCAGACAGAAAGAGCAATGACCCCTTCCAGGAGTCCACTAGAGCTCCACCCTGGTCTCCTCACTCCTCGGGTGAGCTCTGACCAAAGAAGGGAGGCGTGGGAGGGTGGGTTCTTAAAGAACACATCAGACTGGGGAGAAAAAGCTTGTACTACGGAATGTCTCCCGGAGTACCCCCTGTCTGGACTTCTCCTGGCTGGTCGCTTCCAGTCGCCCTCTTGCCCCGCCCACTAGACCCTGTACAGTCCTTGGCCACGCCCTTCTCCCCCGCCTCTCCCCACCCTCACACCCCTCCCTCCCCCACTCCCTGGTACTGCCTGTGTCCACGCCCCTCTCCGCACCCTCACCACAAACCTCCTGGCCACCCTCTCTCCCTGCCCCCGCCCTCACACACCCACAAACAATCTTACACCCAGTTCCTTGCACCCTCCGTGCGGTCTTTTCCAGCCTGCGGCAAACTGACAGGCATCAGTGACCCCGTGACCGTCAAGACGTCCGGCTCTCGGTTCGGATCTTGGATGACCGACCCTCTGGCCCCCGAAGGAGACAACAGGGTGAGTGCCCTGGTGTGGAGGATGTGGGAGGGGACCAAGAGGGAGGGAGTTCCCAGGATGGAAATCACAAAGGAGGGTCTTCTACCTGCACAGCCCATTCCCAGAGGAGGACACTTCTGTTGGGAATCAGGGCCAGACTGTTTGGTGAAACGCCTTCACCAGACCTCACTTTGTCTGCCCACCTGCTCTGCTGTACCCGCTCCAAGCATAGTGGGTAGATCAGAAAGCTACTTGTAGTCTGTTCCATGTGTTAACCCAGAGTTATGAAGTCCTGTGATGAGGACCCTTATGGCCAATGGTCTTCAGTGCCCACCCATCCAGCTGTGGCTCTGCTTCAGCCAGCTGAATGGGGCTGGGCTAGCCTGGGCTGGGTAGAACTAGCCTGGGTGGGCTGAGCTAACTCGGGGTGAACTGGATTCGCCTGGGATGGGCTGGGCTAGCTTGGTGTAAACTGGGCTAGCCTGGACAGAGCTGGGCTGCCATTCTCAGACTCTTTCCAGCTGAAAGGTTCTCAGAGCCCAGATCTCCCTACTTGTGCCTCTGCGTCAGGATCCACTGGACTCTTCTTGCTTTACTCACACCTCATTTGGATTTCATTTGCCATTCCTTTCATGGCTGATAGAAACTCGTGTTCCTTTTTGATTTAGAAAAGACGCCCTGAGCTGATTCTGGGCTTACTTTCATCCCCTGGGCAAAATCTCAGAAAAGGAGAGAGAAACAAACCCCATGTCTGCCTCAGTTGGCCCGGGACTGACAGCTGGCCCTTTTGGGGATGGGAGGTAGGGGACAGCAGTCTGATGGACAGCTGCAGGACCCTGTCTCTGCACTGGGCATTTAAACGAGCCTCCCTCCCGCCAACCCCCTGCCTTCCCACCAGCCCACCGCTCTCCATCTGTCTTCCTTGGTCCACTTTCCTACCACACTCTTCTGGGGTTCCCATGGCCCTGATCCCCAAAAGCAGAGATCCTATGGGAGGTCCCTGCTGCAGGGAAAGGGACTGTTTGTCCTTTGTGACTCACGGACACCGTTTCCAGCTCCGAGACCTTTAGCTAGAGCCAGCATCCAAAAGTCGGGACTGCTCTGACCCAGCCCCTTAACCTCCCAGGTGTGCTGGGAATTGAGAAAACCAACACTTCAAAAACTCCCCACTGGTCCTTTGAGCCCTGTTGAGACAGGGCTGAGATGTGAGGCAAGTACACCTGGTCCTGAGGCTGTTTGATGGGAATGGATGGGTCAGGTTCTTTCCTGGGAGCTCAGGTTCCCTCTCTGGACTCAAGGTTTCCTCCTTTGGAAGTCAGTGAGAGGTTTGACTGTCTGTGAAGGCAGGGTGCACCTCCGCCAGGGATGCTGGATGGAGGGCCCAGAACTAACAGTTTGCCACGGTTTCTCGCATCTGTCTTCCCCGGTTTTTGTTGTTATTAAAGTGCCATCCAGTCTGTTTCGACTTACATCGACCCTGTATAGAGTTTCCAAAAAGTGGCTGGTGGCTTTGATCTGCTGACCTTGCAGTTAGCAGTCCATTGTTTATCCTACAGCACCACACCAGGACTCCTGAGAGCCTTGTTGTTGTTAAGTGCCTTCGAGTCAATTCTGACTCTTACCAACCCTGTATAGGGTTTCCAAGGAGCAGCTGGTGGATTTAAACCACCGACCTTGCAGTTAGCAGTCCAGTGCTTATCCTATAGTGCCACACCAGGTAAATCTTGCTTACTGTTTGCTGGTGAGTAACCTGCCCCTGCACAGAGCAGAAGAGCCACCTCAGCTGAGCTGGAGTCTGGTGGGCAGGGACGAGGGCCATTTGTGCTGAGAGAGTAACCGCGTAACCCTGCACAGATGCCTCGTGGCTCTGAGTCTCCATCTGCTCTGATGTCTTACACACTGATCAGAGCGTCTACTTTCCACGTGCCATGCACAGTTCCAGGAAGCTCCAGATGTTTCTTGGCATGGTGCAGTGAGGGTGCCGGCCCCAAAGCTGTCAGGTGATGCTAGGGTCTTCTAACCATTAGACCCCTATTTTCTGCTTGGTGCAGTATCAGGAGGGGCCTGGCAGAGGCTTGCTGGGCGCTGCCGGTGGGCTGTTTTCCCCCCTTACCCAGGCTCCAGTCATGCCTAGTCTGTATCCCCACCCTGCTATGAGGTCTGCCCCAGGACTTGCCCAGGACCGGGCCACTGATTCTTCCTGTGTTGTTCTGTTTGAATGGTTTCATTCTTCCATCCAATTGTGACAACACAGACTCAGGAGACCCCAAAAACTCCATGTTGGCTTCAGTGCCAGCTGCTATGCACTTCGACGTGGGCTGCGGACTGCAGCTCACACAGGGGGAGACACACACAGGCCCCCTGGGGCCCCGGGGACACCAGTTTGAGGGCAGAAGATCATGTAGGAGGGACACTGGACACCAGCCCTAGTGTGTCCCGGCCAGCCTTCAGATTCTTGCTGCCCACACGCTGGCTGTTAGCCAAGGCGAGCTGGTGAGCATCCACGGCAGTCCTCCTGGGCTCACTTAGTAAGCACCAGCTGTGTGCCAAGCACTAGATCAACCCCATGGTTGGCGCTCCTTCCCCCCGGCCGGACACGTCGTATTTCACCTAGCCTGGGGCTGCTCAAGCTCTTGAGCTGGGTCCCGTTTCACCAGACAGGTGTGGCCTCCCTGGGGAGAACACATGGGTGCCAGGCACCCAGTTCCCGATACTGTGCCCGACAGCAACCGTCCTGGTATTGGCCTGCTTATACTTTAACAGTCCTAAGACCCTCACCTCAGACATTAGAAAGAGGCCAGAGCTGCCACTCCCCATGCCCAGGACATGCCTTTGCAAGTGAGAGAGTACAGTGAGTGAAACACAATCATTTTACAAAGAGGAACCAGCTTAGTGTTTAAAAGACCTTAAACCCAAACCAAACCCCATCCCTGCTGAGTCAGTTCCGACTCATGGCAACCCCATATGTTAGAGAGTGCGGCTGCTCCATGGGGTTTTCTTGGCTATAAGCCCTGGTGATGCGGTGAGTTAAGCCGTGGATTGCTATCCGAATGGTCAGCAGTTCAAACCCACCAGCTGCTCCCAAGGAGAAAGCTGTGGCAGACTGCTTCCACAAAGATGACAGCTCTGTGACCCAGTGGGGCTGCCCCACTCTGGCCAATGGGTTGTCTGTGCGCAGGAGTTAACGACACAGCAGTTTGTACATTTCGTCCTTTCAGAAGCCAGCTGTCAGGCCTTTCTTCCTTGATCATTTTACACGTGTGGCCTAGTGGGTCCATCCTGCCAACCTCTGTCCTCTACCACTCAGGACCCCCTTAAAAGTCCTCAGTCATCATCTAAATGGTTTCAGAGCCCTCCAGATACGAGGGAACTTCACCAGTTCCTGGGAAAATGCCGTTGTTGAATTCCATTTTACAAGAATTTTTGGAACCCCTTTCCCTGGAGAGTGTGTTGTTTGACTCACACTAGTTGTGTAGATGTGGTTGTGCATGTCCCTGGGATGGCAGGACCCTTCATCCTTTCTCTGCAGAGTGAGAGATGCCCGGGGCTGCTGGTCTCCAGCTCCCCGTCAACCTCCGTGAGTCTCTTTCAGCCCCAGATGCAGCCTCTCTACTCTCAACTCCCATCCATCTAGCTCCTTCGTCTGAGTGACTCTCCTTGTGGCAGCCCGTCTCGTGACATTAGCAATTCTGTCAGTGAGGCAGGTGACAGACGTGTGCCAAACCAATGCCAGTCCTGAATTTGGTGCCTATCACTAAACAGGCCCTTTAAATAGCAGCCCTCCACACCACCCGCAGACTCCTTGACTGCATTTTACAGGATGGGCCACAGTCAGAGGCAGACAGGTACCAACACCTGCTGTGGTCAGAGACCTAGATGACCCCCTTCCTCCGCCCAAAACAAATGCACATGGTCGGGCCAGTTAGGAGAATCACACCCCCCCCCATCACAGCAGCCAAGTAGAACCACAGTGCGGTCAAGATGTGGGCAGTGTTATGTCTGGGCTTTATTTCTGGGAAGCTGAGTGCTGGAAAGTGAGGTGTTTCAACACAAGTTTCATGTTCCTAGGGCAAACAGAACCACCCATAGCTTTCTGTTCCAGCACAGGTCCTTCAGGGACAGGAAAGCTTGTTCCCACCAGCCCCAGGCACCAGCCCCAAGGTTGCCAGGTCAAGGAACAGATGGCCCAGTGCAGCTTTCTAGATGAGAAAGGTGATCTGGGGAATACACTTTTCAGTTCCCATCAGCCACTTTGCAGAATTACGTTCCAGGATAAGATACTGGGAGGGAGTAGGGGCAGGCTGACATTTGTCCTGGGTTTGAGTCCCAGCCTCATACTCATCTCAGGTACCCAGAGGGACATGCTTTAAACAACAGAAATGTGCTATCTCACCTGCGTGCTGTATACCTAGAATTGTGGTATTCACTCCTGGCTGAACATTATCATCACGTGAGCAGATTCTCAAAACCCTATACCAGGGCCACACCTCACATGAATAAAGTCAGAATCCAGGGAGAACGGGAGGCTGGGAGGTTATAGCCAAGACCGAGAGCCTGAACCAGGGGAGAGGCCTCAGACAAGGAACCAGATCAGATGAGTAGGCACAGCCCAGCCGGGCCCCTGAAGCTCAGATTACCCTGTTGTTGTTAACTACTGCGGAGTTGGTTCCGACTGTACAAGGTTTCTGAGGCTGCAAATCTTTACAGGAGTAGAAAGCCTCATCTTTCTCCCAAGGAACAACTGGTAGTTTTGAACTGCCGACCTTGAGGTTAGCAGCCTGATTCGTAACCACCATGCTACCAGATTACCCTGGGAAGCTCCAAATCCTGGGACCCAGGCCCTGTGCAGGTCCTCTGTCATTGGCCAGGTGTAGATGTTCCTGGGAGTCCAGGTGGAACCTCCTGGCCGCTGGCCTGGAGGAGGTGAGCCTTGGGCATGGAGAAAAAGGGAAGGTAAAGATATTCCAGGTAGAACCTCCTGGCCCCTGGCCTGGAGGAGGTGAGCCTTGGGCGTGGAGAAAAAGGGAAGGTAAAGATATTCCAGGTGGGACCTCCCTGGCCTGGAGAAGATGAGCCTTGGACGTGGAGAAAGGGAAGGCAAAGATATTCCAGGTGGAACCTCCCTGGCCTGGAGAAGATGAGCCTTGGACAAGGAGAAAGGGAAGGTAAAGATATTCCAGGTGGAACCTCTTGGTCCCTGGCCTGGAGGAGGTGAGTGGGCATGGAGAAAGGGAAGGTAAAGACCCTGCCAAGTGAGAGTTTAATGAGAAGACTAGAGGTCAGGGCTCCTGGTGGATGGGGAGCAGAAGGGGGCCCACAGTGGATGAGAGGTGCCACAGTGGAAGATGGGACCCCTCTAGGGCAGGGGCATGGTAGAAGATGAGGTTCACAGTGAAAAGGGCCCCAAAAATGAAAGAGGGGCTCATAGGGGTGTCTCCTCTTTGCACAGCTGACTGCTCCCTGTAACCGCAGCCTGGCCGAGGGCTGTGCTTACACCATGGAGATAGTTTATGAAGGCAAGCTGAGGCTCCGTGCTGCCCACCACTTCCGGCTGGTTCCCCAACGCTGCCCCAAACTGCATTTTCAGAAACCGCATGTCCTATGCCTGTGGTTCTGAAAATCTGATCCCGCCCGGTTCTGGGATCTAGGGGTGCAGGGATGAATCACACCTGGTCCCCACTCTTAGTGCCCAGTCATGAGAAGTGCTCTCCGTGCTTCGATCGGGAGACTCACAAGGTGCCAACAGTTAATGTGCTCAGCTTCGAACTGAACAGTTTTCGTTCCAGTCCACCCAGGGGGCACCTCAGAAGAAAGTCCTGGCAATCTACTTTTGCAACATAAGCAGAGCACACACAGGCCTCCTCCATGACACACACGTGGGGCTCTTGGTCGATCAACTTGACGCAGCTGTGGGATGTTTTGTTTGGGAGGTAGGGCAAGAGGAGGCTAGGAAAGTGCCCTTCAAGCTGTGTCTTGAAAAAGGACTGAGCTCCCAGTCTCGGGAGACAGATCAGTTGAGGCAGGAGGACCAACTTTTTGGGGAATGGTTTGAGGGTGGGCTTCCACACAGACCCTAGGCACCTTTGCAACCCTTCTCAGCACCACGTGACCCACATTCTTAAGGATTAGTCTGCAGGAGGCGAAGGGTAAAAGCCTCAACTGACACCAAGTTTTAAAACCAGGGATAAAAATAAGACCCAGTGGAAAACAAAACGTGCGGCTGCCTCCGAGCAGTTGAGTGGATGTTTCAGGAACAAGGTTATGATTTTATTTTAGTTTTGAACGTGTGTGCGATGCCAAGACTGAGAGCAGCCCCAGCCTTAATCTCTGCAGCTCCAGAGCCCTTGACGGATGGAGCAGCTGTCTCCCCTCCAGACAGATGCACAGGGATGACGTTCTCCTGGCAGAGCGCCCCCGACGAACTGCACGGCTTTCTCATTTGCTCCCGTATTGGTGGAAAATGACTAAAGCATTTTATAAAAAGTCTAGACAGCTTTCAAGCCAACAGGCATTTATGCAATAATCGGCAATGTCTCCCCATGTAACCCCAAACTCGGGCTACTCTTGACTTGCCGATGTATTTCTACAGCCATATAGGAAACACAACTCCTCTTCGGTGGGCACATTCCCTGTCTTGAGTATGACCATGAGTCTCAGGGGCCACATTACTGGTGGTATACCCAGCGGATAGTCCAAGGGATGGAGGGACTGAAGTCCAGGGTCCTACTGAAATCAAGGAGACTACCTTTTCTCAGGGCCCCCCGACAGGTGCACACTGCCCGGTGCCCAAGCCTGTTCTCTGATATCTCACTGAGTTCCATCCACCACCTCTGTGCCGGACATGGCAGTAAGCACCAGATGTAGCCCTTAGCCAAGGTCCAGGGTGTCCCAGGCGGGGAACTCCAGTGAGAGATCTGTGGTGACTTACTTCGCCACCACGTGCGTTGCAACAGGTGATGGCAGCCATGCAAATAAGTCCCAGATACTACTGCCCTGCGAGATCTCTAAGCCTTAGACCAAAACCAGAATCTGAAGTCACCTTCAAAGCAACCAGTTTGTTGCTGTAGTTAGGTGTTGTCCAGTCAGTTCTGACTCCTAGGAACCTCGCGCACAACAGAACAAGACACTTCCTGGTCCTCCGCCATCCTCAGGATCGTTGTAACCACTGGATCAGTCCATCTTGTAAGAGTCTTCCTGTTTTTCGCTGATCCTCTACTTTGCCAAACTCAATGTCCTTCTCCAAGGGTCTCTCCTGATGACATGTCTGAAGTATGAAGTCTTCCCATCCTCACTTCTAAGGCGTATTCTGGCTGTACTTCTTCCAAGAAAAGATGTATTGGTTCTTTGGGAAGCCCATGATATATTCAGTATTCTTTGCCAACATTCTAATTCAAAGGAATCAATTCTTCTCCGGTCTTCCTTATTCCATGTTGTGTCCAGCTTTCACATGCATATGAGGAGATTGAAAATACCCTGGCTTTGGCCAGATGCACCTTAGTCCCCAAAGTCACACTCTTGCTCTTTGGCACTCTCAGGGACCTTTTGCAGCAGGTTTGCCCAGTGATACATCATTGATTTCTTGGCTGTTGCTTTCATGGGCACTGATTATGGATCCAAGTGAAATGAAATCCTTGACAACTTCAGTCTTTTCTCTGTTTGTCATGGTGTTGCTTATTGGTCCAGTTGTGAGGATGTTTATTTATATTGAGCTGTAATCCATACTGCAAGCTATACTCTTGGATCTTGATCAGCAAGTGATTCAAGTCCTCATCGCTTTCAGCAGGTATATCCTGAGTTGATAATGAGTCTTCCTCCAATCTTGATGCCTCATTCTTCTTCTCATAGTCCAGTTTCTCAGATTAATTGTTCAACATACAGATTGAATACCAACCAATTGCTGTTGTTGTTGTTAGGTGCCATCGAGTTGGTACCAATTCATAGTTACCCTATGCACAACAGAATGAAACACTGCCCAGTTCTGCACCAACTTCACAATCATTGCTACGTTTGAGCCCATTACTACTGCCATTGTGTTAATCCATCTTGTTAGGCGGGGTCTTCCTCTTTTTCTCCAACTCTCCACTTTACCAAACATGATATACTTCTCCAGGGACTGGTCCCTCCTGACAATATGTCTGAAGCATGAGAGACAAAGTTTGGCCATCCTTGCTTCCAGGAAGCATTGTGTACTTCTTCCAACACAAATTAGTTAGTTCTTTTGGCAGTCCATGGTACTTATAATATTTTCCTCCAACACCATAACTCAAATGCATCAATTCTTCTATAGTTTTCCTTATTCACTTGTCCACCTTTCACATGTATATGAGGTTATTGAAAATACCATGGCTTGGCTCAAGCGCACCTTAGTCCTCAAGCTGACATCTTTGTTCTTCAACACTTTAAAGAGTTCGTGTGCAGCAGATTTGCCTAAAGCAATACATTGTTTGATTTCTTGACTGCTGCTTCCATGAGCATTGATGATTGATCTGAGCAAAATGAAGTCTTTGACAACTTAAATTTTTTTCTCCATTTATATGGATGTTATTTATCAATAACTTGATTTAATTAGGAAAAAAAAAGGTCTAAAAGATCAGTGTGTTCTTTTATAGAACTGTCTGTACGGTGTCCAGCTGACAACAGGAACTGAAGTGCCCATGAGGTGATTAGGGCACAGTGAGTTTACCGTAATGGTGGAGTGATTTAGATAATTAGCAGCAAGTTGGGTTGACAGCTTGAAGAATGTAATCAGTATCACGTAATTGCACGTGACTGAGCTGGGGTGTATATTTCCACAACAGTTGGAAGGTGAGTTCCCCACCCCATTCATCCCCTTACCCCCTCTTAGCAGTTTGCATCCCCAGCCTGTATCCAAACTGGATGATCGGTGAAGTCAGTTCTGGGTTTGAAAGCAGGAACGCCATTGTCTTGTTCTGACGGTTCCTTCCAGGTTCTTTCAACGCTTTCTCAGTGGTCTTACTTATGGAATGAGGCTCACCCCCGAAGGAGCTGGCCTGCTAATGAGCTCTTGTCTTTCATTAGGTTTGGTACATGGATGGTTACCACAACAACCGCTTCGTCCGAGAGTACCGATCGATGATCGACTTCATGAACACAGACAACTTCACCTCGCACCGCCTCCCCCACCCCTGGTCGGGCACGGGGCAGGTGGTCTACAACGGCTCCATCTACTTCAACAAGTTCCAGAGCCATATCATCATCCGGTTCGACTTGAAGACAGAGACCATTCTCAAGACGCGCAGCCTGGACTACGCCGGGTACAACAACATGTATCACTACGCCTGGGGTGGCCACTCGGACATCGACCTCATGGTAGATGAGAACGGACTGTGGGCGGTCTACGCCACCAACCAGAACGCCGGCAACATCGTCATCAGCAAGCTGGACCCCATCTCCCTACAGATTCTGCAGACGTGGAATACAAGCTACCCCAAGCGCAGTGCAGGCGAGGCTTTCATTATCTGTGGGACCCTTTACGTCACCAATGGCTACTCGGGGGGCACCAAGGTGCACTACGCCTACCAAACCAACGCCTCCACCTATGAGTACATCGACATCCCCTTCCAGAACAAATATTCCCACATCTCCATGTTGGACTACAACCCCAAGGACCGCGCCCTCTACGCGTGGAACAATGGCCACCAGGTCCTCTACAACGTGACCCTATTCCACGTAATCCGATCGGATGAGTTGTAGTCACTCCACCCGGAGACCAAGGGTCCAAGTCCTCATCCACAAGGAAATCCCTGTGACCCAGCTGCCAAAATACTAACATGAATCCTAATTTTGCAAATCATCAGCAATGTGGACCCTGACGTTTGCGTGTCGGTGTTACCTCTGCGTTTCTCCGATCCAGGCCGGAGGCAGACTTGGGAAGAGACCCCTGTATTTGCAGCTGGAACTGCAGTGCAAGCCTCGCTGGTCCCCTACCCACCCACCCACCCACCCACCCACTCTCCCCTTGGTCGAATACATACTAAAGCAGTAAGGCAACGACTGTTGGCCCATTCTCACCGAGAACAACCCACTGTTAGGATCGCATGGACATTTTGTAGGCATGGTTAGCCCAATGGATATGATGCCCAGCTCAGCAAAGGGACAAAGGGACCTCGGGCCACACCGAGCCAGCCAGGTCGACGTAGACTAGCATAACTCACACCCCATCTCTGTTCCTGTTTCTTGGTGTGTTATTGTCTCTTAGATTAAATTGTACCGAGGCTCCAAGTAGCTCCTGGACCCGTGTCTTAGTAATTCTTCAGCCGGTGGTGGGAGTGTGCATAGTGAAATCCTTGTACCCACGTTGTATGAACTTGCGTACCAGTAGATATCTCGTGTATTGTCTGTTGTACCCCGAGGTGGTAACTCTGTGTGTTCAGTTTATGCAATGAATGTTGTAAATGCAGTGCCGTAGTTTGGATTGATAAATGGGTGGGTTTTGTTCCTAAAAAAAAAAAAAAAAAGAAAGAAAGAAAAGAAGCCATTGTTTACCCTTATAGAGATACAACCCAGCTCGTGTTGGTAAATCTTCACTAAATTACTCTCTTCTTTTACAATTAGCTAAATAATATAACCATGAACCTGAAGGGTTTGTCTAGGAAAAGCTTGGTTTCCACTTGGGCATGGATGTTTGTAAGGGAAACAGTGTGAGGGAAGGACACTTTTTAAGTTAAAAAAAAAAAAAAAAACAAAGAGGAAAACTTTGTACTCTCCAGTTATCTAAGGAACAATAAAGACATTAGGAGTTGTGTTGGGTTCTCGTGTCATTTCTGAGGGTTGTAAGAGTCATGAAACTTCCAGAACCTTGCCGATACTTCCCAGGTCTTGAGGGGCCCTTCCTTTGGGGCGGGGCCCTTCCTTTGGGGTGGGGCCCTTCCTTTGGGGCGGGGCCCTTCCTTTGGGGCGGGGCCCTTCCTTTGGGGCGGGGCCCTTCCTTTGGGGCGAGTGCAGGGGACACACCCCTTGTTATATCTGTAACTCTCCCCTCTCGCTGTGAAATTGGAGTCCCTGGCTCAGCTGGGAGTCTCTTTCCCCAGGAGGAATCCCAGGAGCCCCTGGGGCAGAAGGGCAGTGCAAATGATTAACACACAAGGCTACAAATCAAAAGGTTGATGGTTTGAGTCCACTCAGAGGCACCTCAGAAGAAAGACCTGGTAATCAACTTGTGACAAAATAGCCCCTGAAAACCCTGTGGAACGCAGTTCTGCTCACACACACACACACACATACACACACACGGGGGCCATAAATCAGAATCAACTTTATGGCAAGTGTCTGGTCAGATGAATCCAAGACGCTGCACTGAAGGGGAGCTCACACACACACACACACACACACACATCTGTACCTTCAAGTCTCCCCAGTGGTCCAACTTAAAAGCCTGAGTCCATCTGTGAGGTCTAGCAGAGTACCTGCCATGGTCTGAAAGCAAACCCCACCTCTCTGCCCAGTTCCCTCCCCTAGGTCTGTAGCCCCCATGCCCAAGTCTTAGAGACATCAACTTCCTGCACCCTCTGACTGAGTCCAGGCCACATGGGATCATGGCACTCCACGCCTGGCTGAGTCTCCATGTCTGGAGCCTTCTGGAGTCTCTGGGCTTGTGCTGAGCAGACAAGGAGCAGGTTCATGGGGTTCTCCCTGACCCAGCTCCTGTAGAAGAGGACCCTCAAGGCAGAGCCCACTCTCTCTCCACTCACCTCTGCCCTTGGCCCAGACCCCGGAGAGTCCGCAGGCCAGTCTGCAGACGAGGCTGCTGGTGGTTCCATGAGAGATGCAGTGTAGTGCCAGGTGCTAATGGTGGAGCCCATCTGAGACCACCCAAGAACCTTCCACACAGGTCCCTGTACCACTGATTTAGTGACTGGCTTAGGGGTGGACAGCAGCGCACATCATCAGAGAGGTCCAGCCCTGGCCAACAGTCAGCAGCTGTGGGGTGAGAACCAGGGTGAAGGTGATCCCTACCCATGGAGCAGGGGAGAGGGACAGATGACATGCCAGGAGGTGTTGACTCAGAGGAGAGGGGGTGCTCCAATGGTCCTGTCCACTCCCAGACTTCAGTCTAGTCCCCCCAGTCCCCTTTCTCGCTGGTTGCTAGAGCCAACGCACATATAGGGTGGCCTACTGCCTGATCAGGATCGCCCAGCACCCCTGCAAGGTGGACAGACCTGGCCTGCTGCCTGTCACAGGTCATTTTAACTTGGTCCACTTCCTGCCACTCCTACCCAAACTCACGGGGCAGGTCTCACCACAAAGCCCTGCTGGCCCTCCCTTTTTTCCTCTCCTGTCCCATGTCTCATCTGCCTCTACCTCCCCAGGGTCACCTTCCTCTGGTCTCACCAGGAGATGATTCTTTGACCTCCAACATGCTACTGCCATTGGCTGTACTGCAGTCAACATACACCAACCTCACCAACCAATGGAACAAAGCCCCAGGGTGGATTGTTGTTGTTGTTGTTAAGTGCCGTCGAGTCGGTTTCGACCCATAGCGACCCTGTACAGGGTTTCCGAGGGTGTAAATCTTTACGGGAGTAGAAAGCCTCATCTTTCTCCCGCGGAGGAGCTGGTAGTTTCAAACCGCTGACCTGAAGGTTCGCAGCCCGATTCGTAACCACTACACTACCAGAGCTCCACACTAATGGCATCCGTGAGGTAATCATGAGTAGATCACTAGGTTCCTCTTCCTAGTCTGTCAGAGTCCAGAAGCTCTGCTGACAATCGTTCAGCGTCCTAGTAATCTCCAAGCTCCCTGGACAGCAGGTGGCACAGCTGCAGATGAGATGCACTGGCCAGGAACCGAACCTTGGTCTCCCACATGGAAGGCAAGAATTCTACCCCTGGGTACCCCCTGATTCTTACACTCAACAGTCGTAGGCTATCTTTTTCTCTGTATCCAAAATAAGTACCTCTCCAAGACCAAGATGAAAGCCAACATCTACATCCCTGCTTTCTCGTAGTTGCTGGCACCTCTGTGTCCTTGGCCAGGTGTCAGAGCAGACGCTGAAAGGTGAGGTCGCCGAGAGGAGGGAGCGGAGAACTGAAAGTTCTACCTGGAGCACCACAGAGCTCCAGCACACCACCTTGGCTAAGCTTCCAATGAAAACTCTGAGAAGTGGGAGAGCTTTAATACTTCGATGTTCACAAAGGATCCTGGGAAGTGGTTTGTGAGTGGGAGAAGCCGGCTCCTAATGTAAACTAAACCTCAGGTTTCAATCAAGCCTTAATACAAGCCGGCAAGCATCCCGTGATAGAAATGGGTCCAAACCCTATCTATTGTTCTGTAATTATGGGCCATAATTGCAGGCTGATTCCTTTGTAACCCCCTCCCCATGACATAATAAAAAATTTTTAATTAATAAATGTGCAGATACCTTTCTCATACCTGGGCTACCAGAAGACAGAGTACAGACCCAATGGCTCCTGGGTGGATTTGCATCTCCAACTGCGCATTTCTCAGGGAGAATATTCGTCCAGAATATCAAATATGCAAGAAAAATGGTCCCATCCTGAGAGCAAATAAAACACCCAGGCAGTCACCAAACCTCCAAGAACCCAATAACTGAATATATTGGCTGCTGGTGGAACATCTGTGGGTAAATTTTTTTTTATTAAATGTTTGGCGTGGAATCAATGTTAAATGGTTGTTCCGGGTTCTCAGAGGCAGATTTTATATTCTATCTATCTACTGCGAAGTTAAGGGCCTCTGGTGTGTAGTGGTTACGAATCGGACTGCGAATCTACCAGCTGTTCCACGGGAGAAAGATGAGGCTTTCTGCTCTCATAAAGATTTACAGCCTCAGAAACCCTGTACAGGGTCGCTAGGAGTCAGCACCAACTCCACAACACACAACCACCACCACCACTGCCAAGTTATCTATCCATCTATCCATCTATCCATCCATCCATCTATCTATCATCTATCGACCGATCGGTCATCTATCTATATATCATATATCCATCATCTGTCTATCCATCTATCTATATATCATATATCTATCTAGCCATCTATCTATATATAATATCCATCTATC